TGATATATGTGTTCGTCAAGCAACTACTTCTACTTTTGATAAGTATGTATTTTGTAGCGATATTAACTAGGTAGTTTTTTTTTTGAATTTGAATGCATAAAGTGATTCTATTGCATTAAGTTAGTTATTTCATCATTCATTACAATAATCAAATACTTCTGTAATAATATCAAATGGTAAAGTACAATATGAAATACTATCATGTTTATCAACATTAATATTTGATCGTTTAGCTCAGCCATCAGCTCGAATAGAAATTATTTGTTATTTTTATCTTTTATATAGGTTGGATGTTTAAAAGATATTTATGTTCTTTTAAATATTTCAAGATCAACAACAATTCGACCATTTTTTCATAATCAACATGATGAACTTCGTTTACTTATACATTTCTTAAAACATTCATTTATATTACATGAACTTAACAATTTACAACTATTACTCGATTTTCATAATTTAATCTTTTCAAGTAAAGACGAAAAAAAGATATTTATTATGTTTTTTTTTGAATTCTTTCTTTTTATTTGAGGATTTATCAAATCTCAACAAATGAAAAAATGTTTTGAAAGCAGCACAAATACTTCAATCAATTCGAAAATTGCAGAAAATGACTTCCACAGTTTTAGATCTGAAGAATATATTTGATCATGTCTCGTCTGAACGAATTCATTTGTTTTTCTTTTTAAAGAGAATGATAAAGATTCATCAACAACATCAAATACAACAAACACAGACAAAGATAAAAAAAGTTAATCGTACACAAGAGATAACCTCTTTTAAATAGTAAATATTTATTGTAAAGAAAATTTCAATTATTAATCTTTTTTATTGAGCGATTGAGCTAAAATCTTTAGAATGTTGTATTGGGTCTAAAACGTGTCTACGAATAGAACTTTAGATGGAAATCTTATAATTAAAGTTTCTGCAAGGGTCTTTCCTAGAGAAGGAAAAATTCAATAGAAGAATGTCATAGTAACAGAAAAACTGATTTTGCGAATATCGATAATCTTAACGAGAGTAGTTTATTGCGAAAGTATCAGATCTTTTGATTTGGTTCTATCTTGAAATCCGAATATTAAATCACCTAGTTCACGTGAGCGATCTGTAAGACACTATTACCAAAATTGTATCTTAGGATAGAAACAGCAACACAACATTCATTTAAAAATATTCTTTTTATTTAGTTTTTATTAAATCTTTATTAACTAGTAATCGTTTCATCATCGTCTGTTGTAATAAAATCTTCAAATATTTCTTCTCAAGTATCATTAAATAATTTTTTAACTTATATTCATACAATTCGTGTTAATTATAGTTGATTAGATGCTGATGAAGTTCTTTGTATCTCTAGTCGTTTCGTTTATTTTTAAATAGCATTTTCTTACTGATATAATCAATCAACTTGAAATGATTGAAGAAACTACAGCAGATTATGATGTATTATCACATGATAAACTTCATTGAAAACAAGTTATTAAAGTAGAAGATTTAATAAAACATTGTGACTCATTATTAGCAAGTGGACATGAACCTGAAACACATGGTAGGAAGCAAAAAAAAACATTTTCGAGAAAAAGAAATTATCGTTAAAATTCTTTATTTAGCTTTAGCAGTATTAGAACTAGGTAGTTGTATATGATTGTTTTCTTGTTCGAGTTAACAGAGATAGTACAGAATTAGAAGCATAAGAATGGTGGTTGTTCACACCTTTCATAAACTTGTTCGATGTAAGAAATAGTCGCTATGTGATTAATTAAATTTTCTAAAAAGTTTTATTAAATGATAGCTAAAAAAAGATGTCCCTCTATAAAGTCTCAAATATCATAGAAACTCGAGAGGGTGTGAGTGTTGGTGTGTAGGTGTAATTTTTCTCCTTGATTGAACCCACACCTAAACCCAGTTATGTATTTGATAAAAGATACGACAATAAAAAGTTTGAAGGAAAACTACGCGTCTTAATTATTATAAATAAAAGTATCTTTTCATGTCATGTGTGTGTCCTGAAAAAAAAACAAAAAATAGAATTCATATTGTTATAGGATTTACGATTGTTAACAGTTATTGTTGATAGTGTTCGAAATGATGGTGATATATGGAAATGTCTTTCACGACAAATTGCCGATGTACTTCTTATTCATTTATAATCACATGTTACTATTAGTTTATCTAAGGTTATTTTTCTTTGTTAATAATCTCCGATTCTACGTTACTTTTTCTTTTTAAATAGGATCAATCGCGTTTGGATATTTATTCGCTACAATTAACACTATTTGATGTTGTATCATCAGTTGCGTTACGATCAATTGATCCATTTGTTGTTGTTTTTGTTTATGAAGTTTTCCTGTAGTTTAAAATGTTTTTTTGAATGTCAAATTGTCAATCTACAAATCGATGGTTAATCAATATAAATATGATATTTCAATGTCTTGTACAAAATTTAACTGAAGATGCTATATTAACACGNAGATAAAAAATAGTAATAAATCCTACATTTTGTCTACGAGAGAGAATGATTTACATTGTTTTAAATCAGCTAAACTCATTTTAAATCACCAAACTCAAAAATCGTAGTTTCTCCCTTGAGTTCCACAGTTTTAGATCTGAAGAATATATTGGATCATGTGTCGTCTGAACGAATTCATTTGTTTTTCTTTTTAAAGAGAATGATAAGGATTTATCAACAACATCAAATACAACAAACACAGACAAAGATAAAAAAAAGTTAATCGTACACAGTTAGGTACGTTTAGAAATAATCTACATAAGATTTATCGAAAAATTTGGAATCAACATTCAATGTACACAAGAGATAACCTCTTTTAAATAGTAAATAGTTATTTATTGTAAAGAAAATTTCAATTATTAATCTTTTTTATTGAGCGGTTGAGCTAAAATCTTTAGAATGTTGTATTGAGTCTAAAACTTGTCTACAGATAAAACTTTACATGGAAATCTTATAATTAAAGTTTCTGCAAGGGTCTTTCCTAGAGAAGGAAAATTTGAATATAAGAATGTCATAGTAACAGAAAAACTGATTTTGCGAATATCGATGATCTTAACGAGAGTAGTTTATTGCGAAAGTGTCAGATCTTTTTATTTGGTTCTATCTTGAAATTCGAATATTAAATCACCTAGTTCACGTGAGCGATCTGTAAGACACACTATTACCAAAATTGAATAGGATAGAAACAGCAAAAAAGTTTGAAAACCAATTTTTCTGTTACCACAACATTCATTTAAAAATATTCTTTTTATTTATTTTTTATTAAATCTTTATTAACTAGTAATCCTTTCATCATCGTCTGCTGTAACAAAATCTTCAAATATTTCTTCACCAGTATCATTAAATAATTCTTTAACTTATATTCATACAATTCGTGTTAATTATAGTTGATTAGATGCTGATTAAGTTCTTTGCATCTCTAGTCGTTTCGTTTATTTTTAAATAGCATATTCTTACTGATATAATCAATCAACTTGAAATGATTGAAGAAACTACAGCAGGTTATGATGTATTATCACATGATAAACTTCATTAAAAACAAGTTATTAAAGTAGAAGATTTAATAAAACATTGTGATTCATTATTAGCAAGTGGCAATGAACCTGAAACATATGGTAGGAAGCAAAAAAAAACATTTTCGAGAAAAAGAAATTATCGTTAAAACGTTTTATTTAGCTTTAGCAGCATTAGAACCAGTTGTATATGATTTTTTTCTTGTTTGAGTTAACACAGATAATAAAAAACTTAGAAGCAGAGCGAATGATTTTTGTTCACACATCACTAAAACTTGTTCGATATAATAAAATATTGTCATATTTTAAGAAATAGTCACTATGCGAATAACTGAAATTCGTAAAAAGTTTTATTAAATGATAATGAACAAAAGGTGTCCCTCTATAAGGTCTCAAATATCATAGAAACTCGAAAGGGAGTGAGTGTGTAGGTGTAAGTTTTCTTCTCGATTGAACCCACACCCTTTTCGTTTCAAATAGGATCAATCGCTTTTGGATACTTATTCCACACAATTAACACTATTTGATGTTGTACCATCAGTTGCATTACGATCAATTGATCCGTTTGTTGTTGTTTTTGTTTATGAAGTTTTCCTGTAGTTTAAAATGTTTTTTAGAATGTCAAATTGTCAATCTACAAATCGCTGGTTAATCAATATAAATATGATATTTCAATGTCTTGTACAAAATTTAACTGAATATGCTATATTAACACGATGGAATGAGATTTTATCATCAGTTAATGAAACACGAGATGAAACGTTTAGCACGTAAGTATTCGAAAGGATTTTATTTGTAATTTAAAAACTACCATTCTCGTTTTTCTTTTTAGAACTCTTCTTCGAATTTTAACTAATACTCGACAATTATGTTATAGAATCGATATGCCATTA